TCTCTTCCTCGACCTGAGGCAGCTCCTCCTCTCGACTGTTCTCTTCCTCGAACTGAGGCAGCTCCTCTGGACTGCTCTCTTCCTCGACCTGAGGCGGCTCCTCTCGACTGCTCTCTAAATATTTCTACACAACATTGACCCTGAGGGTGTTTGTTTATATCAGGATAACTTCTATATCTTACACATCAATACAGAGTATATCAATGCAGTTTACATGGCTATTAAGCTAGTTAGCTATTATTAGCATGTAAATGCCAAACAACAAATCAGAAATACTTGAGAATATTTATCTGTCAGTGATTGGCGGTATATTCCTTGGCATGATGTGTGCTGTTGATTTGTTTTTGGCTGCCATCATTGTCTCAATATTCCGTGATACTTCTGGTGGTTCATGATGGTTCCCAATTTTAAAGTAAAAGATTGTATTTCAAGTAGGGAAACAAATGCGATATGTATCGTGCATGCTGTTATTGCAATGATGATAGATTTTCGATATATCGTGCAGCCCTAACTCATATGACATAAAACTACATAGTTGAAAACATACATTAGGACACTGTTCATCAATGCTTTCTAAAAGGAATCAGGATTGTGAGAGAATCTTAGACACCAGATGATGATTGATCTAAAAGAGAAAATGGGATGGAGTGAGGATGAGAGAGTCAAAAAATGTTCCTGACTGTTTTGGATTATTTATAATCTGTTACTTAAAGGTGATATTAACAGATTCATATCAATATTTTACTGAAATAAATATTTTAAAAAATGTTTCTAATTTTGTCTTTGTCGTTTTATTATTGACTCTCCCAATCATCTAAAATTTGTGATACTCCAGTGTTACACCCATAACGAGTAAAACACAAAGAGCACAGTATGTCAGAGCTAGATGTGCTTCCATGACGCCTGCTCTCTGAAGGAGGCTACACAGGGAAATGGACAGGTGTCAACTTACATCAACTCAGTCTTATGGATCTCAGCAATCCTTCGCTCCAGCTTCTCTGAGTGCTTGGGAAAGAACTGGAACTTGGAGCTGTAGCCCTCTGGGTGTTTCCCAGGGTCGTGGTCACCAATTTCAGCTGGAACACAGTAAAAAAAAAGAGAATAAGGAAAATTTTAGATTTTTCTTTTTGATTAACCCATTTATTTCCAAATAAATCGTATACCTCAGGCATCAATCATGACTGAAGAAGAAAGGAACACTCTTTATTAAAACTATGCAAGCTATCCACTAAATCATTACTGAAATCTTAGAAATGCATTGAAGCCAAACCATTATCTTACATGTTATGTGTGTCCAAAACTCAAACACAACAATGAGCTACATCCCTTTTCATTATACATGGACCGGATGCTGGGTTGTTGGGTTTAAATGTGCACTGCTCTGGGCATTATGGTCACAAAATATCTACTGTGGTAACATGCAGAGAGGCACAGTTTATGTATTGTCTTGAGAGAGGTTTGAAGAAGTAAAATCAAGAAGTAAAGAAGCATTGTTCCATAGACATTTAAATAATATGATATTCAAACATGTTTATGGGGAAAAAAAATGACTCCCACAAGCAAATGGCGACAGTGGGCACATGGCTCACTTACTGACTAAAAAGTAGTTCCATATATAAAAGTAAAAGGAGACATAAACATTTTTTATATCAAAAACTATTTCAATAATTTTTCCATTACATTTCATTTAGCTGACGCTTTTATCCAAAGCAACTTACAATAAGTAAATTCAACTTATTTCTTAATTTTTTTTCTTTATTATCAATATTATCAGAATTTTTTTCTTTGTATTCAATTATTCTGCCAGGGGCATTTTTATATTTCTATTTGTATTTCTTTTTTGTTAGTGTTAATACAACATGAAAATGAGAAAAGCCCAAAGTACACAAGGATACCATGTGCACAAGAAATCAAGGTTTTGAGTGCACCCTTATAACACAAGTGCGCACAGTGAATAGACCGAGGCCGTCTCAGAGAAACTTCAACCCTGAGATGACAAATCCTCTTTGCTTAAAATACTTTTAACACCAGCTGACTGTGGTTTATTGTGTTGAATAGATTAAGTCGTTTGAATGCAGAATCTTTTAACATTATTCACAACATTTTATTTTGCCAGTGTGTATCCACATCTCCATTCATTAGTTGGCATGTGATACCTCCTGCCAGTGTTCTTTGCAGTGCTGATTGCAGATGGTGGAGAAAACACATGGAGAGTTTTGGCTACTTCTCTGCTCTGTAGAGAGAACTGCACCAACCCAGGCAACCATAACTGTTGGAAATTATATTTTGTGGAGCAAGTAGATGTTATGCATTCCCAGGTGATGACATGTAATACAGTAAATACTGAAACCCCTGATGAAGACATGCTTTATAGAAAAGAAATGTTAGTCCATGCTGAGGTTTTTACGAAATGAATAGATATCTCCCTGCATGGATGTTGTAACAGTTGAAATTGTGAAATGTTCCTTTAAGAAATACAGTGTTGCCTATGAGAGGAGCAACATCACCAGCTGTTTTATTTGTCCTTACTTTGCATGGAAAGGCTGAACTGTGGTTAAATAAATGAGTGTTGTAAATAAGTGTTGAAGAAGCTCCAGCACCTGTGTGGATAAGATTGAGGGTTTTTGCACATAACAAATAAGCCAATATTAGCCCCTGTCTAAGTATATTGATGTTCTGTATGGTGGGTTAGGGACACAAAGAGAATGAAATATGTAAATCCTGGAGCTGCTGGGCAAGGATTGACAGCCGAACTGCTCCTTCTCACCTCTCAGCATGTTGATGAGCCAAAATGACAAAATAAGCCAAGAATTTGAAATGTCTGTGCAGAACTGACTCTCCAGCAGAAAACCATTAAATCCATTGTAATTTGAATAATAACTGTGTCAATATTGTTTTTTGTGCTATTAAGTGTTATTAAAATGAGCAATTAGTCAATTCATGATAAACAAAACAAAGTCAGATTCTGAAGGTACTCATCAATCACAAGCAATAAGCCTTCAACACCCACATGATAAAACCCACACACAAACACACACACACACGTTTGTTAACAAGCCAGGGTCATATGGAAATCATATAAAGTCTATAGAAGGTTATAAACATGAATATTACATATAGTTACTGTCAGAGGAAATATAGTTTGAGGTGATGAATGAGGACCACAACTAGAATGAACAATGACAATCAATGCTGAGATTAAAACAATAAATAACATTTATCATTTAGCTGAAATGCATCACTTGTGTTTCTAGTTCACTTGTTTCTTTGTTCATAAAGGATCACATTGTCGTACCTTGTAATATGTAGGCAGCCAGCAAAGCAGCATCTGACGTTTTGCACAGGAGCCGACCATGGTAGAGATCCCTCTTAACCTGCAGGAAGACGAGATATCTGTGGAGCGGAACACAAATAAACTAATTGGGGTCATTATTTAGTTAGGATCAATATATTGACTGCTGGACATTAACACCTTAGTAGGAGACTGTTAAGAGAAGAAATATCTTTACATAGTAAGTTAGGACATGAGGTTCAAGACCAGCCCAGATACAACCTCCCTAGAACCTGTTGGACTAAATCCAATTTTGACCTGTTGGGAGTGTTTCAGATGAAGTCAAGGAATTCTATTTTAGTAAATATTTATTTTGTGGTCATCCAACCAGTGGATGGTGATAACAGGCTGAAAAACACATGACCTAGTGGGCAAGAAATTGGTCTTTAAAACAAATACCAAAAATCATTATATAGCTAATGCTATAGGAGCCTATGTGTTAACTAGCCTAATTTGGATGTTCTATGGCTCTTACAGACAAGCTACAATTCCTCCTCAGAGTGACATATAAAATAAATGTAGGCTAGCAACACCTACATTAGTCCAAAGATCTTTCACAATCCATTTAAAATCAAATCAAACTTACAATAATGAATGTATGATTATCAATCCAAAGTTATCTTCTGGACCATTAGACACAGGACACGTTGGCTGCCTTGAGGCAGAACTTGACCTAAAGCTTCAGAGAACTGACAGTGAAATTCAGATAGTGAAATAAAATATGATTGCTGGTCGCACTGAAATCGACTGGGGCAGCTGGTCTGGTCTCGTCCTCAGCAGCCACAAATTGCTCATGTGTCATTTCCCTGCACAGCAATTTGTCTCCAAGCAGCAAAGCAATAAATAATAAAGCAGCACTAAGCAATGCTAAATGTCAAATAACAATTTATTGTGCATATCATCTGATGATATCACCTGATGTCTGTAGTTTTTAAATACAAGATAAGTTAATTTATGTTCATTCATCAGTGGGTTGAATTTATCATTCACAAAGTAAGCGGATCTGAAATGAGGAAACTGTATTTCAGCTGGTGATCCCTATTCAAACATGGATCCTCATATATAATATTTGTTCATCTTATCGGCTTCACACTTGTGTATTGTAAATTGCCAGAGGAAGTGTAGTGCCCAGTTTGGTGCAATTTGGACACACAATTCAATTTAACGTTAACAAAACTTGAATAAACAGGCCACCAGCGCTCTGTGGGGGCGGGGGCAGTGTGCTGCACCTCTGAAATAGCTGACATGCAATATATGAAAAAAAGAACAGTTCAGTAAATCATTCAAACATAAATATATATAAGCCACACTTGAACAGTAACAAAGCAGATTCAGTTTTATTTTATGAAGATCATGGAAGGCAATATCTTCATTGCAGATAAACCAGGTTGGATAAACGCAAAGTTTTCAACTTTGACCGGAGTAGACGTTCCCACTGAGGAAACACATGGAGATTATTTCTCCCCACTGTCAGAGGGGTAACCTTTAATATACAGTCTATGGTGTAACCTAAGCCAGAGCTGTCATGTTACTGTCTCTTTAAGGTTTAGGTTGATATAGGCAGGTACACTTGACCTCAGCAGGAAAAAAAGCAGAGTGACCATTCCTCTCATCAAACAATCTTTGATCTCCTGTTGTTTTCTCCTTCATGACTCCTGGAGGAGTTTAATCAGCTAGAACAAGAAGTGGGAGTCTGATATGTAAGATTCGTGAGAGATGACAGAGGAGTGTGATTTCACCTGGAGACACTTAGAACTGTGAACGATGAGTCCCGGTGAGTTCATGATTGTAGCTCATGATGTTAGCGTGCTAATTACATTAGATACTCCTGCACACAGGAATCAGGAAATGTAGCTTGCACTCATGAAACCGATTGGGATCATCGTTAAAGGGGATAAGGTTCATTCATGAACAGGTGATAATTGTATCGTGTCCCCTATGAATGCTATGCTAAAACCATTTAGCCTGCAGGCTAGCTAAGTGCTCCATGTGTTGCAGAGGCAAGTGTTATTTTCACACAGCTAAGTTCATGGAAGACATTCACAAGGCTCTGATACCTGCTGCGTCACTTCCCTGTACAACCAATTTAACGGTGTTGTTAGTATGTATTGAAAATGTGCTGTATTCTGGGAGCTGAGTTAGTGCACTAAGAGTGTATTCACTGTGAAATGCTAATGTTGACTGTATGGACCTTGAAGTACACATTGAGGTTGAGTTATAAAAGGAGAAAATAGTGGAGCAGGAATTATTTTGAAATGCAGATATATAAGGACATTTATTATGGACTTTTAATGAGTAACCGTCTTTATTCTTGAAGAGGTCAGCAGGACATCCATCTACAGTCTCAGCTGCTGCCATCCATCTGCAACTCCATCTCCTCCCAACTGGGACATCATGCTGGACATTCATTGGCGGTAGGACTTTTTCAGTACACTCATTTTATTTTACTTATTTGAACATTAAAAGTTTCCTGAGATCTCAGGGTTTTTGGATTATGATCCATAAATTACCTGGCCAGTGCAAGCTTGACAAGGTTGAAATAACATTTACTGTGTTATGTGGATATTTGTTCTATATATTCCTAGTTACCTACTTGGACACTGATGATTTGTGTTTCAACACATCTTTCTCATACATAGCCAGTCTGTTGTCATTTGTGTTACTCAGTGGTGGATGTTTCATGTCCACCTTAGTAGACAGAAGAGAAGATTAGAGAACAATACTCCCTGGTTCCTGATCAGATACTGTCCACTATCTTTAAGGCACAGCTGAGTAGGGTTACAAGAACTGTAAATGACTGAATATTGCCAATGTCAATTTTCATGTCACCACACTGGAGACACCCAGTGGGCCGAAGGCTCTATGTTTTCTGGTTGTCTCAAGAATGTCTGGAGGGAATCTCTTCAGATTTGGTGAAAAACATTTAGTTTGACTCACAGATGAACTGATCAGATTCTAATGGTTGAAGGTCAAAGGTTATGGTGACCTGATGTTCTGGTGAATGTGATATATCCGAACATCCATTACATAATTTCATTACATCAGGCACAAACATTTACTTGGACACAAGGATGACTGGATTAGAATTTGATGGTCAAAGGTGTGACCTCACAAAACACTTTTTTGTCTTGTGAACATGTTACACCACGAGAGAATCCTTTCAGATTTGGCTCAAATGTTCACTTAGTATCACAGGTAAACTAGATTTGGGTTGTCATATAGTTCAAAAGCACAGTGGCCTCACAAAATATCTATGTGGCCTCTTGAACATGATATCTCAAGTCTGCTCAAAGGGAGTTTCCTCAGATTACCAGTTGTCACATTTCAGTGGTCAAAGGTCATGGTGATCTCAGATGAGGTTGGCAAAAAGATATGTGGACTGAAACTGCACTGGTTGGTGAAGGCATACAACCACTTGGTGGTATTTTTGATTTTTATAGAGAGAGCAAAACATAGGATTGTTAAAGCAACATAAAAATCCAGGTTTAATGTTGTTACCTGCTCATTTACTATATGTGTGTGTCTGTGAAAGCCTCCAGTCAGAACAGATTGCGGAGGATATTGGAGCGCTCCCTTGCCACGGCTCAGCTCTATCAAAAAGGGGTTGGGTTGTGAGTAAGAGATTTCATTGCATGGCAACCAGTGGAGAGATGTGACTTTGAGGGATCTGTGTGAGCGCTCAGTATATCTCTGGCTCACCCCTCACAGCAGTTTGTTCAGCTGTCAAGGATGCCACACACACTATAATAGTGGTGAGGAGCGCCATGACACTGCAGCTTATAAAGAAACGGGAAGAGGCAAATCCCTTTGCACACAGGCTCACTGTGGAGCTCTGGATGCTGTTATGAAATTAAACTTGTGGTCTTTATTTTGTATCTGAATCACAGCCTGCCTCTCTTAACAGTTCAGACAAACAATTCACCTCTGATCACTTTACAAATGGCTACTTTCACTCTAAGCAAGTTGAAGAAGAAAACATACTTTTATTTTGTCATACAACTATTTAGTTTTTCAGTTTTTCTCAATAAATACAAAAAGCAATTATAGGGATGAAGTTTAAAAAGTGAACTACAATACAACTGCTCATCTGCTGCTGCTGTTATTCATTTTTCAATAAAGTAAAAGCTGGCTGCAGAGACATAAAGTACCATCAACAAATTGTAAGATACCGTTTAAGACAAACAAGATAATAAAGAAGAAGACATCCAAGTATCCCACAGCTAGCTTTGCTCAATGTCGGAATTTTTAGAATCACAACTTCCCAAAAAACAGTGATATATGTTGTTGTCATCCCTATTTGAGTGTAAGAAGTTTATTGAGGTATGATCTATGTTGATGTTTTGTTTTAATAATGCTGGTCATTCTAAAATCCAGCCCCACGCTTTACAGGTTTGTCTCAACCCTTCACTTTCTCTGTTCACTCACTGTCAGAAGTCCACTACAACCAACAACAAATTGAATTGTGTCTCTGGTTTTTACTGCGGTCGGCTCCAACTAATTTATTCTGTCTTCTTTCCTATCTGTCCTGTTTTGTCATTTTCTAATCCCATTTCAGTGTAATCACACATTTTGTGACCCCTTGCTGAACTGGCTCAGGCACAAAACAGCTGTTAAGTGATTGCTTCAGACTATTTTCTTGTTCAGGCCTCAGATTCTTCCTGTCCTCTAATACTCCCCATCAAACATCACTTCTGCACTCGATACCACATGACAAACAAACCAACAGGTAGCTGCTCTAAATAAATAGAACTGGGATTTCTAAGGATGTTCTTGTGTTCTCTGTGGCAGGGTTTGTAAATATATGTGTGTCTGTGTACTTACTCAGCTTTTAAGGCAAATTAACTTTGCCTCACAAAAGTTCTCTATAATTTCCTGTTGACCTTTTGGCTTTTGATAAAAACCAAAAAATCTGTATGTTTGAATTCTTTGTTTAGTTGCAATTTCCTTGTCCACTATTTTAGCAATGCTTCCCATATTTTTTAAATGAATGTGTGCAGACATTGAATTAAACATGTTTATCTCTCAGAAGGGAAAGGCTCTGTGTTTAGGGTTATACCCTCTTTGGTCTTTCAATCAGATTAAATAGTTGTGGTCATGAAGACATATTGTACATTGACAGACTGGTGACACACATGGCTAATTACGCCTCCATTCTAACACTGCTCAGCTCTTTTGCTTGTACTACCTTAACCTTGAGAACTCAGCGAAAGAAAATTTACATAAAATTGACTAAAATATATCTTCGGTCTCTAACTCCAGCCTTCCCACCTGCTCTGAGCCATCTTGAAATCTTACCTGGTGATTTCTTCTCTCAGGGCAGCAGGGTCAGGTGGGTAAAACTTGACACGCAAGCACATAGTGAATGGAGGCTGGGCTGCAGAAGAGAAGAAGATGTATGTTCTGAGTTTGTTTTGTCATAATTCTAATGTTGAAATTATTATGTTTCATTTGCTTTTCTTTCTCCTCCTTGGCACACACTAATTAGGCATGTTATGGTAGATGCTTACATTTCATTTGTTTGGCAATAGACTTTGTAAACTCCAACCAGTGCTGAAAGAGACAGAAAAAGAAGTGAAGATCTGCACTTTGAATCTTTAGCCTCTAAACAGTCACTCTGGAGGTACTGATTGCTCAGCAGCTCAGCATGATCACTTGTAATCTATAGCTGGAGGACACAGCACAATTACTTCCATCTCTATGCCGTCTGTTCATCCAAGAGAGGAGATTTTTTGAAGATAATCAGCAGAGTGCTTTTTTCTGTCAGAGCGACGACCATCACATGTCGACAACTGGCTCTAATCAGTGAGATGATGACACGCTGACGATAATGAAGTATCCCCACACAATGATGCTACACTACCGTTGTTGACTATTTATTTTCTCGCTATGCCTGCATCCACATTTTCTTTAAACGTCTCAGCTGGCTGATATCTTTCCTATAAAATATGGAGAAACCTTAAAGAACTATGCATTTTTCATTTCTAAATCTATATTCACAGATCAAAAGCGCATGATAAATAAATACATAGTTTCCAATCTGCAAATTCACCCAGGCCTTTCGATGATGGATATTCACATCAATTAAAGGGGCTGGTCTCTCACCAGTTTACATAATGAACATGCAGACTCACCAGCCTGTGCTGAATTTTTATGTAGCGAGTGAAAAAAGTCACTAGACCATTTACAACTGGCATTTATATTAACAGACTTTAATGAAGTTTCTGTCACTGTCTCTGAGATCTAATTGATAATTTGCTCTACCTGGTGATCTGCAGACACTGTAGATGTGGTAATGACTGACTGGGACTGCTACAGAGCTTCCTTCTTTATTAATGTGGCCTCACCCTTTCATCAGCTACACAGGATTTAAATGGGCCTTTTAAGCTTTACCTTTGAAAAGTGGTTTAATCCTCTTTAAATAAAGCATGTTATACACACTGCTGCATAAACACCAGATTTTTTTTCTGACTTTATTTATTGATGGCTATTGTGAAGAGGATTTCAACAAATAATATAAAAGATGTTTCAGAAACAAATTTCTAATGCTACTTTTAATTCAAGGGGGAAAATGGCATATTTGTACTCATGAATTACTAAGAGTAAAATTTGAAGGTCCTGTAAAAAACAAAACTTCAAAGGAACTTAACCGTCACATTATGTGACTCACTGAAATATTAATTGGGTTTATTATTAAAAATGAATACTTACCCTCTGCTTGTCTGGGTCAACATATCTAATACCAAAGTAGTCTTTCTCCAGCAGGTTGAGATGATGGCAAATTAGGTCAAACAGGTACTGTCCCTTGGCATCCCGCTGGAGACAGAATAAGAGGAAATTCCAAAAAAGTAAATATTACTGATAAAGAAACAGCAGGAGATAGAAAACAGAGGACTCCACAGGACTAACATTGTTATATTTGCACATTTACCGACACAGTTAATGAACCCCCAGCAAATCAATGCTGCATAATATATGTGAAGGCTCCACTCAAGAGTCCAGCTAGAGCAGCCACCAGCATCACACATTATGAAAATAGACATTCATTTTCTTCCGTCCTCATCAGGAAGTCCACTCTTTTGCAGCCTCTGAGAAGTCAAAACGTCCAACAGTTTTTAATATTTCACCACTCTCAAGGGAGATATATAAGGACTATCAAATATTCATATCGAGGCAGCAGCCATCTGTGGAAGCTTTGAGACATTTCTGCCGCAGAAAAAGACCTGAGAAAAGCAGTGAGACAAGGTGAAGGGGAAAAAAATGCAGGCTGTAGTCACAGTATGGGGGAAACTAAATAGTTTGTCTTTGATTATTCTGTTTTTTTTAAATGACAGTAGAGGAGGAGAAAACAGGCCTGTTATCTTGGAACTAGCATAACTCGACATGAGCTGTTTCCTCCATGAAGCTGCATCTACCCCAAAAGACTCATTTGACTCATTTTAATGGAGTCTTCATTTAGTTTTTACTGCAACAATAAGGTACAAGACAATGAGGCTGCCACTAATACACAACAACACGTGAACCAGTAATTGGAGTTTTGCTGCACAGTCAGCAAAATTGTACAGTTATTGAAGACACTCACATTTATTAACATAGTTGTAGTCCCCTAAAGGCCTGTTGTCTGAGGAGGATAGTTCAAATGTATCTGCAGAAGGAGGAAAGTGGTCTCTGTGCTAAGTTTAAGTTGTGGTGTGCAAACAGAGAGGCTCAAGCCAAAGCATGAACAGATTCCTGGTGGCTTGCTGCTCGTGTTGACTCAGACTATCTCCACTCCCTGGTAGGAATCCAAATGTGATGTCAAGTTGATTGTATTGATCTACTGTGATGTTTGTGTTCGTTAGCAGGATTACGCAAAGGTGTTAAACAGATTACCAAGAAAATTGGTGGAAGGATGTGATATGGGTTAGGAAAGAACACATTACATTTTGATACATGACCAAATCAGGAGGTTGATCCAGTATATCTGGTATGCGCTTTACTGAGTGCCATTATAGTTTCTGTCTTTATTGACAAAGCTAGCACAACATTACTCCATATGAAAAGAAATGTTAAGTTTCTCTCACTTGTTCTTTTGTTGCGATTAGTGCAGGACTCACATTGTACTGATTCTACTGATGTTTTTGCAATATACTGCAGTCTGCAGCAGCTGGTGTTAGCCAGTAGCACTTCCTCGAACAAATCACCTTCGGTAGCAGTAATTCCTCCGCAGTGATCCCACACACAAAACTGGAGATATCTTGCAATGTCCTTTAGTGTATTTTCAATATCTTGAGTCACATCAGTGATCTGCTCTATGATGGTTCTTTGAGACGAAGTGACTCATTAGAACAATTATTCTTTGCTTTATCAGCTCTTCAAGACTCCACCAATTCTCCTTATGCATTCTGTTTCTTCGGTTTTAGCTCAGTCACTACAAAACGTGTCTGCTGAACATTGTTCCTGTCAGAATATGTTCTTGTGGAAGCTGCTTGTTTGGCACAAAAACTCTGCTGAAGAGTGTAATGTTATCCAGAGCATCTGTCCTTATAACAGGACAGTTTAGATGCAGGTTTCCAGCTGTATTAATGCTCGAGATTGGTTCTCTTCATCTCTGAACCACGTCCCTCTGAACCACAAGGGACAATGGATTGTCTGATCTTGTTAGTCAGTTTCTCTTGTAAAGTGCATCATTCTGCATCATGTTTTCTTGACAAATGCTATGATGTTGGTCAGCGATCATCACACATATTAGTAATTTGTTTTTCCTTCACCCTGACTGTGACCAGACAGGCACACAGCTGAAAGGGACTGCCTTGAAGGACAAGCTTGTCATTTTCTGTTATCACGAAAAATGTATTTCAGTCGTGAGAATTACTTTTTATTTCTCAGTGTCCTTTTTGGATTTATGAATCATCTCAAGGGGTTTATATGGGGTTCTTGATCCCTGTTTTATGTCTGGAGAGGATCTCTCTTCGTGTTTATCACCACTGAGATTTATGCATGCCTGTATAGTGAGTGTGTGTACATCCAGTGGAAAATGTTCTGTACCATCTGTACTATAGATATAGGATTCAGCGTTTCCTTCCCCAGTGGTGAAGGACACAATAAAATATCCTACTCTGCCTTTTAAAAGAGACACTGTGTTCATGCAAGTGACACAAAACTGCACAGTCAGAGAAAATCATACGCAGATATATGAGAACGGAAGGGGAAACAGAGAGGAGAAAGACAAAGCCAAATTAAGAGCGGGAAAGAAAAGAGTGAAAGGGGAGAGAGAACACGTGAGGCCAGTTGACACTCATTTTTTCTTGTTTAGCACATCACAGCTCAGCAATCTAAAAGAGAACAGGAGAAAAGCTGCAGTGAAGGATTAGTCCATATATGAACCACTTTCAGATATGACCCCTGTTCAGATGCATCAATGACTTCATGTCTTCATGATAACTCATTCTGAACCCAGGTTGTCTTGTTTCATTGACATGATCACATATTCTGTTGCTCCTTGTGACAACATTTCATTAAATCTATACTGCACATATTTTGAATACATTTTAAAACCAAATGTGACTTAGAATTAAAATCAAATCTTTGCAGATTTGGAAAAAGAATGGTCTAATATGAGTCTGATATATATATATCACAGAAACATCAGGTTTATGTATCAATTAAGTCAGAGGATGTGATTCATTAAGAACAAATATCTGTTTCTAGTGTTTTTTAATGAAGTATTTGAGCCAGAAAATCGACTCAAAGCAACTCAACCAAAGTACAACCCCTCAAAAAATCAGTCAGCTCCAGTTGTGTCAAGCAGTGCAAAACTGGCCAGACCTTTCCCTGGCTGCTGACCCTCCATCTCCTCTGTCAGTGTGTCTGTATGTCACTGTCACAACACACACCAGGACACATCAGGACAGGCCTGCTGAGTAGCCCAGCGGCAAAAATAGGAACGCATCCATGGATCCATGTTCTCACACACACACACACACACACACACACACACACACACANACACACACACACACACACACACACACATACACGCACACCACACACACAGAGGTTTAATCCTTCTTGCTTGTCCATGTTACACCTGTGTAGATCCACAACATTTTCAGAGCCTTTACCTCCCACTCACTCCCATCTGCTGTGCACTGTAGTGTATACTACAGCAGGGTCCAAAAAAGCCTTTCTAATTAATCATGTTCATCCTCCTATGTGTGCATCATTATGTTTGTATGTGAAATGCCTAAACAACAGAAAGACAGGGCAATTTATTACAGAGCAGTGTTTCAGCAAATAAATGAAAAAGGATCGAATGCATTAAAAGAAAAAGAAAATGGACTACATTTAACCAAGCTGCACCAAATCTGCTCAGAAATATCAGTCCCTTAAACATGCCTGATTCTTTTCATCAAGATCCATGAATTATTCTCTGAGAAAACGGTGAAAATGTAAAAAAAACCACCCTGTCTCACAATGTTAAAGTGAGTGAAAAAGAAAATCATGGATCTACACCAATATTGGATGGGTTCTTCCTTGACCCAAACCACATCCTTCCACCAAATTTCGTGGAACTTGGCTCTGTAGGTCTTGTGTAATCCAGCTAACAGACAAACAAACAAGCAAACGCCAATGGAAACATAACCTTCTTGGTGGAGGTAAAAAATGAGAAAGGATCAAATGCCTTATACGAAAATAAGAACAATGCTGAACTAGAATATTTTCTCACAAGCTGCAGTGCTTTTTACAGCAGCACTGCAGTTTAATCACACCACGTTTCTACAATGGATTTATTTGCTGTTACAACAGAATTCAAACAGTGTGACTCAATGAAGAACTTGTGAGTCTTCTATTGTGCATCACAATGAGAGCAGGGAATCCTGTTGTTTCCGATTATTTACCTGACTCTGCACTACGATGTAGTTTGTAATGATGGGATCTAAGCATGCACTAACTTTGCTGTGCAGTGCTAAATGACTGGCACGACTAATCAGTGACAGAATAAAGCGGCACAGTCTCTCTTGCACATATAGGCAGCTGGACGAACACTTGTAATGTATATGTGGTGTTGTGTTGCATAATGATGAGACACACTGAATTTCAGAGGGCTGACTGGGGCTCCACTGGGACACAGAGGCAGGCTCTGAGGCAGAAACATTATTGATCTGAAGCTAAGTGTTCTTCAACATCCTTATGAGACTTAAACCTAGAGCCAGGCTGCAATACATTGCATGGAGGTAATTCTATATGTGTGCAGTTAAAACTCTTTTTCATTGTTTTTGAGTAGATAAACTGAAGATCTATTATGTGGTTTGTGGTCATGTGATTCAGAGTGGGAATTGCTTCTCTTACAGTTATCTCTCCCCCAGGTTTTTATTGCTGTGGAGGAAATAATTAGATCCGTGCTATCTTTGGATTAAAACCCTTTCGTTGCAAAAACACCAGGAAATAAAAGAGCCTACTATTTAGATAAACGATCATACACTTAAGTATGCATTATTAGGCTTTGGAGTGTGATTAATTATTGCTTTATACTCAACATAAGGACTGTACACTGACCATTGTGTATCATGAATTATCCCATTTTGCTTTTAACTGTCACCACTCCTTAATGTAAATAATACATGCTTTACATGTGTCTGTGGGGACACATGCAAAGGTTTTTTTTACACAGGTTTTTTTTGGGGCTTGATCCGTGTTCCACAAAATATTTAAACACGTTTTGAAAATGGTGTTCCTATAGTCACACCCAGTTGCCCAAACAACTTCTTAGAGTAATTTATCTCCATTGGAGTGACAGACTTTGCTAAAGTTGTAAAATTTCTTACTGGAAAGAC